AAATATCCACGTGACATCCCACTTTTAGACGACCATTTATAAAAGAAGAGGAATGTCAAATTGCTAATAAGTACAGATAAGATAATTTATCGATTTCTTCAATTTACTGTTAAGTAAAATATTGTCATGTCGATCAGTATTTTTTCCCTACAAAGTAAATATTTACCCCTTACTACAGTGATAGGTCTAAAACACCGGTTAAAACGAAGACACCCACTTTGGCGTTTGAATAAGAAAAAAATCGTGGTACAGAAGGGGAGAGGTGTCTTGAAGCACTTCAAGGCATGGATAATATCTTATCAGTCAAAGACTTTGCATTAATGGCAAAGAGTACCATAAGCATATCAGGGGATATACCAGACGTTACCCACACCATCAGGCACAAGAGATGAAATAACGCAGATTGTGTGACGTTCATGGAATTTGTGTTGAAAATATCACTTGCAAACTGAATGAACTTTTTTTTTGCATTCATACAAAACAAGAATGTGCACGGCGACTCCTGATATATACGAAGAGAAAAGACCAAGTGTTCCGGAAAAGAATACGTCTTCTACTTCATTCCTGACTTCCGCCATGTAACACTTGCTCGATCAAACACGTTCCAAGTAGCAAACAACACGAAGAAAAAATCAACGTGTCAACATAATCCAAACATAGCGCAAAATATGCAAAACAGAAACATTGATCCGAAAACTCACGAAAAAAGTCTGAGGGGAATAAGACCAGATGTTCCGGAAGAGTGAGCAAGAAGTAGAATAATTTCAATAATTTCAATTGCTCTAGAAGAAATGAACATATAAGGGTGTATGTCACTAGTGAGCAAATTATCTTAGTTCTAAAGTAAAATGTAAACAAAGGAGTAAACAAAAGAATTCAAACTCACAGATCTAAATATCACAGAACTTCCTGATAACAGCATGCAGTTCTCGAGTTTTATATTGCATATAATGCAACAATCATGTTATGTCGAGACTGGGCTATTTTGACACTAATATAGCAATTCAAACCCTTATCAATGAGTCGATCACGCACCAGTCGTTCTCTGCGCCGCCATCTTGAATCTTGAAGAAATTACAGGTCTAAACGTCATCAATGTATAAACGGCCTATCCCTTATATAGCTACATTTACTTCCTGTAATTATAAAATCAAAAGTTAATAATAATCTCAGTAATATACTGAATAGTGTATTTATATATCACTATTGCAATCCACATATACTTGTACCTGACGATAGAGTAGACACTGCTAGCCTTGCTGCTGTTGACAGTTATCGCCCCTTATAGCCAAGGTTTTCCAGCATTCTAGGAACTTATTCCAAGTGGAGGTATTATTCATGACCCTTGTGACGGCGTTACCATTTGGCCATGTGTTGGTTATCAAGCTATGGGTGCGGGCGGACTCGTTGATAATTTTGGCTAGGACTTCATCAACAACGAAAAGGTATAGAAATATTTCACGAGTCTGAAGATGGTCTTTACTATATTGCATTTTTATTGATCAGTTGATTTGCTGAATCGCCAAAATGATTAAAGTTTCTGTGCAAAAGAAAAATCAAACCCAAACGTTAATATGTAGAATAATATAAAAATGTGATTAGTCGGATCGGGTGGCGGGAGGAAGCGTTAAGCTGTATTGCCTACTTCCATATGTTATTACTGACCGGATGTTAAAAGACGTCGAAAAATATTGATAAGAAACTAGTGACATCCGAGGCCCTACTGACTATAATGAAAGAGTGAAGGTATTTTGTATATATACAAGTCGATACCTATAACAGTAAGGTTAGAAATACATAATAAATCTCATAATGTTATGTTAGTCCAATAGGAGTTTTAAATTTCATTTAATCATGATCTTAATGATAATTGTAATAAAAAAAATCATATTTTCATTTTAGAAGAAAAGGGAATATAAAATACATACCCTCAACTACATTTAACTTCTTTTTAAATCTTCAATCTGACACGCATTTCAATTTCAACCATTTTGCTCATTAAACAGCCAAAACAAAAATGAAATAATGATATGAAGTAGGTTATCCTATACGTATACAATTGTACAGACACAAGTACAGGAAGCCCTGGATTATAACACGTGGTTGCCATAGAATATACTCATACTATTATTAGGGATTTTCTTTCAGTACCTGTCTGAAGCCTACTGCGCCAGTAGTATATATCAGATTAAGCCAAATTCTTATGAACTTGTAGTCTAACGTTCGTACACTACAAACGCACTGTACAACTACAAAGAATTGTTTGTTGAACCCTTTACCTAGTTGACTTTTCACTTCATTAAATGGTTCAATCAGACACAGACAGTTACACCTTTCGTTCATCATTCTCGAAATGACATTTCTACATTTATATACTGATGGTTCAAAAGATGATGATAAGGTTGCTGCGGCCATGGTTACACAAGATGAAAACTATGGATGCCGACTTCCGACACAACGCCTCAATATTCTCGGCAGAAGCGCGAACTATCTACCTCGCCCTAGAATATATTCAAAGAAACAAAGAAATGAGAGCAGTTATCTATTCACACATTTCTTTCTGTTCTACAAAGTCTTAACAATAGAAATATGGAAAATGAATATTTTCATTCGTAATACATAAATACTATATCATGAACTTGCCTTTAACTTTCGTATTGCTTTTTGCTGGGTTCGTGGACACATGGAAATACCAAGCAATGAAAAAGCAGATCGTGCCGCAAAGGAAGCTTTATTGCTACCGCCTGTTGGTTTTAATCTTCATTTCACCGATTTAAAACCATCTATTCAACAACTTTGAAAAGCTCAGCAGGAGGAATCGAATACCTATACCAAAAACTAATTGCACTCCGTTAAACCTGTTATCGGTGAATGGTTTCCAAGCTATAGAGACAACAACCAAGACGAAGTTGTCCTTACTCGTCCTCGGATGGGTCATACATACCTTACACGTTCATATATGTTGAAAGGCGAAGAAATCCTTTGTGCATAGGATATGATGAGCCATTCACCGTTAAACATTTTTTATTGGACTGCATTGACCATCTGTATACTCGAGAATGTTTTTATCGTAACATTACATGTCTAAAATCCCTTTTTGAAACTGTTGAGATTTGTAAAATTCTACATTACTTGAAAGATGTTGGTCTATATAATAGACTATGATGTAGCAGTTTAATATTTTGTGTTAACATACTCATTTAAGATTTTTAACATTTGTCTTTTACCTGTTGGTTTGTTTAATGTAATTTCCTTTTTGGATCGTTGTGTGTTTTACCGTTTGATGGCCCTAATGACATTTTATGTGTTGACGGGCCGTTAAGAATGTAATAATAATAATTATAATATTGCGTGTGTATGTAAAACACCATGGCTTCTACTTCATCAGTATAACAAATCGTAGGGATTGGCTGCCAGACGATTATTCGAAATGTTATTTCTCGAAAGTGTGTCACTCCGTGTACCTTCAACAAGTTGTGTTTAATGATAAGTTATATATAGTGTATACGTAGCATCCCAGAATTACTATAGAAACCGAGTATTGAATTCCGGACGAGGCTCATAGACTTTAGACATTTGCAAATTACTATTCTGAGGTCCAATTCGAAAATATTCATGAATAGAGATAAAATCAATATAAAGAATTAAAAAAAATAGGTTGCTCTTTTAATACAACCGTAACAAATAAATATCAAATAACATTAAACAGTCAATTCTAACTTGTAATAAATAAATATCTCTGTTGATGTCTGTATTGATGTACATCGCCACTGACTTAGTAAAATATCTTTGAAAAACACAGGAGAGATTTCCGTATTGAGCGCAAGTAATACCGTGATGTTTGACGTCATCTATCAGTAAATGCCATCATATTGTAAACATTAACGTTAATTGTATCTTAAGTAATATGTACCATTTCGTAGCGTAATTACGTTTTTTAAATAAAAACCATTTTTTCAAGCGATTGCATGAACAACTGAACTATTGTAACGTGCCATAAAGGAAACATTAAATCGCTTGGAAGCAACAGCATATATTTCATCTCGAAATATTCATAGTGGTTGGGTGCCGCGGGAAGTATTTCCCTGCAGGTGCGGTTTTAAAATCTTAATTAAGTTATCAAAATACAACCGGACCCTGCGTTGATTAGTCGCTGTAGTGTATAATCTCACATTTCAGAGCGTGGCGAATGAGGTGCCTCCAGCAACACCAATTACCCGTATATGGGTATATACATGACAATTTCGTACCAGCTAGGTCTGTAGATGCAAGTACTTTCAATTGCATCAAATATGTTCACACATTTTGGAAAGAAGTATCTAAACAGAGTTTATTTTCTGTATACAACAAATAATTTTTATCTAATTTAAATTCGAAAGTTTGGGTTAAAAATGTGTAAGTATGCACAAAAGACAAAAGTAAATAGCATCTTTTATTATACAAATAACAATAATGACAACAAAAACAAGTAAAAAAATTGCATCGTACATTTTTGTCATTCTCCTGTGACATGTCAGTGATGTTTAAAATTTCAAAGATTAAAACTTTTTAAGGCTGTATAAAATCAAAATTGATCAAAAGAAATGTCTGAACTCTGTTTAAAAACATTCTCTAATTCAATATTGTTAAGTTTTCGTTTCCAAATAACTACATAAGAGTTGTTTCCCTTGTATTATAATTTTCTTGTAAACTACTGTACAGTATTGTACAAAAAAAAAATCCTGCAATATGTTCTGCTTAGTTAATATTTCTGTTTAATTTTATATATATTCCAGTCTATATGTAGATGTCAGTAAGGCTACAAAAAGCATGAATGAACCAGTTGGTGAAAAGAATCCGCAAGGATAGAAGGTTCAATAGAGACAAGAACTAGTCTAACAAATGTACTATACAATGCACACGGTTACAATACTGATATGAGTTTAGCTAATACATCTTATTTAGCAAGATATAAAGAGTGCTGTACATGCATGAGTACTATGCAGAAGATAATATTAGTATTAATTGAAGTGTATAACGAACACAGCCATCAGTAGCAGAGAGAACGACATCTTGTGAGAAACACTTGTTCCGGTATATTCTATACATGGCTCTTGTGTTTGGGTTGTACATGTGCATGGTTCAACAGCCTCCAGAGCAAGTTCGGTATCACACGAGTGGTAGAGGGCCATTTTGTTTACACCCATCTGAGGACTGATCATGCTTTCCACGTATCCTTTGACTTTGCCTTGAAAACAAGGGTTACTTCGAAGATCTTCGATGTAAGTTTTGCATTCCTTGCGACAGACGAAAGTTTCACATCGTCGAAGAATCTAAAAATACAGAATATCGACATACCGGTTTAATGAGATATGTGATATATTGGTTTTATTTGGCTATGCGAATGCATTATAGGTTAATGTGTGCTTATGGCGGTTACCACATTTAACACGGTAAATGTCTGCATTAAGATTAATCAAGGTTTGTTTTGATAACGAAAAATCTAAGAAATCACAAATTGTATCAAAACTTCTCGCTTAAACCTCAAAAGCGAAGAGAATATGCAGAAGTGATATTACTGAAATCGGTCATTTACACAGTTTCCGTGAAAAAATATAACTCCAAAACAAAGTTTTGAAAATGACATCTAACCTGACACATGTCCAAAAATCCTCAATATCAATTTAAATATCAGATATCAAGCTATATTGGGCCGGGCAACAAAATGTATATTTATGCTTGAGAACGGTTTAATGGATACGGGGCCTGGTTTTATTCTACTTGTACATTAAGGAGTTGCAATGTTGATTCATCTTGTGTTCATATTTTGCCGTTATTTCAGTGAATATGACTTGTATTTTTGGATATTTCGAATATTTTCGTTGTTGGTGCTTTGATTGATTTGAGACCTGAATTCATTCTCAGACTACTCTCTCAATTTAACCAAAATAAAAAAGCACACTACAAATAAACAACCAACCTCTTTAAAGGTCTCGTCGAAATACGAAGTGTTTGTAAGGAAAGACTGAATTTGACATCCTTCTGTTAACTTTGTTTCGTGTGATACAGTGCATAGAGGCAACCCCATCATAGTAAAGCATTGGTGAGTTGCAATGGATTCCTTCGGATAGTAAAACAAAAACGCAAAACACATTTCCTCGGCTGTTGCTTCACCGCTATGGGTTGTTACGTCTTTGCGTAAAGACGTGAAAGAACATTTTGTCTTGAAAACATCGCCTGGCTGGGCTTTCAAAGGTGTCTCGAAGCTGCAATAACAGGTTTTAACAAGTCACTTACTTCTGTTATCTAATCACTATTGTTGAAATAATAACCAAGCCGAGCTTTAGTATACACAATTACACTCTTACAATTTATGTTAACGTTTTTACAACCTATTTTAACTCGGAGAATAAAACTGATAGTCTTATATTATTTTCAGTCACTGATTCCGAAACAATACAGGCAGCATGATATATTTTCTTACCTTACCCAAACGATTTACTTGCTATTCGCCCATATAAGCATAATTTATATCACGCTTTCGTTTCCTTATCCATAGATTCAAATCATCTTCAAACTACGGTATTGAATGCACTAAATGGTGTCGGCGATTGAGATTGCCTCGGCTAAATATACTTAGTTTCTCAGATTGGTGGTTTACTCTAGACCTTGCACTTGTAGTTTAAATATCTTTATGTTTAAAAACTGTATTGTGCCCATTTTGCTTATTTTCTAATCGTAGTTTTTCCACATGTTCTTATGATTAACATTAAACATTCAGGACATTTTTAAGAATTTAAAGTTGTCATTTTAAGTGAGCCATCTCATGTATATGTTCACATTATTTTGAAGCACACCTAAGCAAAAAAATAAGATTGTACCAAGATACTTACATGTGCAGTATAGGGTTATCATAACTATAGAGAGGGTCGTCCATAATAACCTGTTCAGTACCACCCATGGGTTCATAAGATGTCTCCATTTCTCTACCTGTTATACAAATATAAACAGTCAAGTGAAAGTGACTTGATAAGGAAAATATGAAATTAAATAGATCTAAACGAGCATATTATACGAAACTTATAGCTACGTTTGTTGGAGAACTGATGAAGGTGCTATTTAACGAAAATCATATTTAGATCAATAATTAGTTATCACTTGAATTACACATACAACCCCGAATACAGGAAAAGAGCGTGGACACCCACCCATGTAATGCATGTGGTTGTGACCGCCAACGACGTAAATAGGACTGTTCATTATTTGCGATGAGCAGGCTGAAGTGCACTCCGATTCTACGACATAACGATGTTCTCCAGGTGGGATACTGAATCGATATTCTCCGATAATTAGGCTTCCGAGATTGTAAGGTCGTAATATTGGAGTGTAGTATAGGATCATTCCAGAACTGTCCATATAGTCAGTTTTCAGCAATGGGTTGTTCCAATGTATCTATGAAATCATGAACAATGTAATATCCATTTTAATGCTTTTTCGAAAGCAGAATTCATGTAATACTCCAATAATTTTAATACATGTGTACACACGAGCTTATCTTTTATTTCAAAATACCTTCTCTAAGATATACGTTCTCTCAATATATTTTCGTATGTTTTCGCTATCTATAAAGTACCTGTAGTAAGGCATATTTGTAACCGGAAATCCCTATCTTGTATCCAGCATTTTCGTTGTGACAAACACCAGGTATCCCAACACTCCATCCGGCTATCAGTTGCCGACATCGTGTTTCTCCCACCATACCACATTCATATGGGGCATTCAAAGGATTTACTAAATCCCTTGGTTCAACTGGAAGAAAAGATTGTCGAAATAAGTTGGTCCGCTGCCGTTAGAACATTTTCGCAACTTAGATGAGTAAGATTTTTTATTTCATAAAAGGAGATCTTTACATGCACATAAAATATGGTATGATATAACGTGATATATTGTCTACTAATAACAAAAACATTTTTGACATTGCATGTGAATGCGAGAAACTAGTTGATATAAAAAATACAGCATTCCAGTACTTTTCATTTTCACTAATAATTAAAACTTGTTCTTCAGTCGGATTTTCCTGTCAAATACAGAGTACTCATCGGATAAGCTATAGTAAAGAAGCAATGCAGCCTTTCAAACAATTTTCAAAGAACAATGTAAATTCTACCAGATTTCTTAGATAATTCGGTCAATAGGGATTTATGATATTAACGAATATTTGAGTCAGAATTTATGTTCTGCAGTAAATGTCTAAGACCAATTTCATATTTAAAAATCATATGGCTTACGATACAGCCTATGTACCAACCGTCATTCGAACATGCGAAGATTATCATATGATGCATGACGAATTCATTGTCAATTACACCTCGATCAGCGATCACGTGATAATCCTGGTCAGCAGGTAAGGCGAAATTCATACAAGTGTATGTGGTTTCTTTAGCAGGAACTTGTGTTTGTGGATATCTGACCGCAAATTCTAGAACGTCTACAAATAAAACGAATATAACTTTCACATAACACATATCAATGTATGTTTTAAACGCGAAAGTAAGTTATGGGTAATACAAATGTTCCGAAAGTAGATCCATAATGATAATTAAAACTAAAATTTATTTATGTCCTGATTCTGTTCGCAGAACAAAGAAAACAAAAATCTCATTTTGTTATAATGAATTTTATATTGTCTTTCGCCCATTCATTTTTCCATTTCTTTTCTGTTTTGCTCAGCTGTGATATTAACAATATTAGATTCACAATTATTGTCTTTGTCCGAATTTGCCTCTACATATTGATTAACATATAATAAATGCCGACGACACTTTTCCGCGACTTTGTGATAGCACCGCTAGACAAACTCTGTAAAATATTGTCATGATCATCCTTTATATGTTTTCATCATATAACTTAGTTATATACTGTTGCAGTTATTCTGACTCGGCGAGTTTACAGGCTGAACGTTTTGACAGTATTAGGAGTGCACTGCTTAAAATGTACGAGTAGTATTTTCTATTATCTGGACTTTTCTTAATATTCAGCCGTTTTCTTTAACACTTGAAGCTATAGAACAATTTCAGTAACAAAGTGGTTTGAGTTGACATTCTGATGACATTCTTATCCTACCTGGGTTGTTAATGGCGTCACATTCTAGATCCGGTAGCTGGCAAATATGAAATCTCTTTTTTAAGCATTTCGTGTCGCTCCATGGCTCGCATACACCTTTTTCAAAACAAATTTGATATTTTTAACCAAATTATGCTTTCAAAGAAAGGAAAAGGGGCTAAGAAACTAATAATTTCTTCTTTGATCTATTTTCAAAATTGAGTTCTTGAACAAATAGCTCTCGTAGTTCTCCCTCTTCTCCTTTTACTACTTTGGAGCAGATTTAGGTTTTCAACCATTTTTCAGATCAAACTAAGTGATAAAAGAATATATTTACTTCGTTAAGTTGAAGAATGTCCCATTTAAAGATTACACCAATAAGTGAATAATCATTACGCATTAAAATGGTTGGGATATAGTCACTTGTATTCATGGACATATCATAAAATAAATTATAGCATTGATATGCTATATTTATTAGAAGTAAGTAGTATGTACAATATCACTTGAAGTTAATTCATTTACCTGGGTGTCCAGTTGGAAGACCTGTTGGATTTGACTCCGGAGTCCATACACAGTCGGGGTCACCTAGTTCCTCCCCATTTGAGACTCCGTCTCCATCAGAGTCCATCACACATAAGGTGAGGTTCCACGTCTGGTATTTAAAATAATACCATCGGTATGCAAAAACCTATACGTTTGTATTTTATATCAAGTGTCTTATATATATTGATATATCTTGAAAATTTTGATCGAAATACTTTTCTTAAATAAGAAAACATATACATTACGTAATATCATTGTATATCTGTTTCCCACGTGTGTCCTTAACCTAGTCTGTATTACTGATTCACCTAATCAACCTTTTCCTCTAGCATATCCCTATAGCGTGATTTCAAATTGCGATGATCGCTTTTTTTTCAAATTTGATTCAGGTCTTAAGATATTCTGGTTTTTAATAATGCAAAATGCAAATGAAAATCTGCCAAATATTAAACATACATTATTAATATATTATAAGTATTTCTTGAACAGGTTATATTTAATTTTCTTACTATTAAGTAATATTGCCATTTATTTATTTATTTATTTATTACTTTATTAACAATTCCTTACTAAATGACAGCCTTTATTAATCCACGTTTCTTCTCAGGATACCAATATTTTGAACACAAACACTATTATTTTTATCTCATATTAACTGTTAAATTAATTATTTCCCCCGTTATCCCATCTCCAACATTGGCTTCGAAAATCCCGCTCGATCTTGGAGCCTAGATGGAGCCCACGTCATCCAGACGGAATTGATACTCTCTGTCACATCTGTAGTATCTCTTTTGGTAGCTATGATGAGTATATAAGGTGGCTGTCGCATAGCTCGAGAAAAGTTGTCTCTGGTCACCCTCGGATATTGTCAACAGGGAGGATCTGTGTATGCGTAGGCTTATTGACGGAGCGAATTATTTCTCAGTCGGTGTGACTTAGTCCCGTTTTTTTTTTTTTTCTCGCTGTGTCTCTGTCTGATGTGATGACTGTACCGTTTGGCTGTATGGCATGTGCCCTGGTGGTCAAATGGCTAGTCCATTTCTGCACCAGAATGATACGTGACTGTTCACCATCAATGTATAGTCTCTCCCTGACTGATGGAGCTCGATGCCGACATTTCTTCAACTAATTCATGACACGATACCATGATTTGCGCTGCTCCTCCATTTTAGCGGGAAATTATACTCGAACGCCAAAAGAGGTGACTTAGTCTCTTTTGATTCCCAGTTCTCTTTGAATTAAGTCTTTCATTATTCTATTATGCTTTAATTACTCTCGTATGTTTGTGAACAGACAAAAAACACGTTGTAATAAATTGGCGTTTAAGATTTAATCTTTCACTACAGTTAGAGGCAAATATCTACTTGTTTTAGCATAAAACCTTATTTACACGCCATTATATTACAAAAATCTACCTGTAAATATTTAACAAATAACCTTAGTTGAAAAGTCGAGTAGATATTTGAATATGTTCTTTCATTACTAAAACCCAAAACTTTTTATGTCAAAGTTATACCACGCTATCATCATTTGCCTTTGAGACTGTTTATCGAAGGATTGTGGGTGTCATATGTCAAATATGAATGTAATCTGCTGTTATTTTGCTGAGTAATTTTGAAACTGGAAACCACGAAATCCCTTAGGCGTGTCTGTAAGTCATAAGTCAAAACTTTTAAACGTATCATATAAAACAATAAAAACAATAACGGAATACACACGCTAAATAGCCAGTTATGGTAGAGAAATACATGTCAGTCTTAGTATTTGACTCCTCGAAACAGGTCATACGATTATGTTGATTAGTTCAAAATTGTGTCTGGTTGCATTATTTAGCCTTGAAAGCAGATAGTACAGCTTTGCGTCACAACCTGGTACCCGGTACCCAGCTAATCACATGGAAATCGCGTGACATCGCCAAAACAGTAAAGAATAAAATAAAAAACGATTCTTCTTGCTAGGGACATACTTGCTAAGACATACCTTTCACATCTGTTAATATTAATTCATTTTGTTAACCTATACGTGTTTTATTATATATATATATTATTTGAAAGAATTGATCAATTAAAGATGCAATATTGTAAACAGCATCGTCAGACTCATAGATCACTTTACCTTTTCGTTGTTAAGGAAGTCCTGGCCAAAGGGATTAACGAGTCCGCCCCCAGCAACTGCTTGATGACCAACACCCGGCCAAATGGTCACGCCGTCACAAGGGTCACGAATAATACCTCCATTTGGAATAAGTGCCTGGAATGTTGGAAAACCGTGGCTATAAGGGGCGATAACTGTCAACAGCAGCAAGGCTAGCATTGTCTACTCTATCGTCAGGTACAAGGAGATGTGGCCTGCAATGTTGAAATATAAATATGATGTTTACATGGCAACTTTGTACGCGTAAAACCAGATTAAAAGATAATGTTGCTTTCAAGTCAAAACACGATATGATAATTTCCTTTATTTTTTTAATAAAACCATAACAGTTGACAAGTTATAATTAAGAATAAGGAGAACAAAAAGTTTGCGGAATATATCTAAATATTTGACTACTTTGCAACTATCAGGAATTTGCAATTTGTAAATAAAACCAGATTACTAAACAATAGATATTATATGTAACAGCAGTCTATTACAAAAATTGATAAAAAAAAATATCTAAACTCAGATGAACTTAGGCGAACAGAAGTTTAATATGAAAATTCAATTAATTGATTTCGATTTAAATCTAATGTTATACCGTAAAACAAAACTCTCGATATGTCGTATCAATCAATCTTTCCTACACTTCTGCAGTGGTGCAAACCTTACTCAGCAAGCAACTCTGAAGACGAAGGAAAAAGTGCACAGTATCCAACAAAAATACCACGAGAATCTAGGTCGGTTTGAATTATTCAAATAATTTATATCATACCCGTGTCCTACTTACATATATATATACCCAGGTCAACCATCAAGTCCCAAAAGTCTTCAGTGAATGTATCTTTATATTTCAGTCACGTTTCTGAAAAGAGATAAGGAGTGTTTTAAATGCTCGAGTCGAGACAAGGGAATATTATAATTATGCTGCAAATTGTGTGAAATATGTGAAAATCGAGAGAATATAAAGAGATTGTTATATTCATAAATGCACGTATTTTCATAAGTGTGTCGACTTAATCATTACTGGCTTATTAGTTACCTCCTATTTTCACTTAAAACAGCCACTTGAATGGCCATACAGTTTTGAAATTGCACATCGTGTATCCACACGGTATGCGCAGGCTGTTGTGGAAAAACTTCTTATAGCCCATCTTTACGGACGATGTCCGGTTCTTTAGCGTGTTTGATATAAATGAAGAAATTACTTATGATAAGATTTATTGGTTTTCGAAATAGTACAGCTAAGCCTACTACTTAATTAAGCCATATATTTATATGTTAGATCTATCAGGTACAGAATGAATAGTTATATACATTCGTAATTAAGAGTGTTTTGTTTACAAAGAGCAATACATGACCAGTGTACAGAAACTCCACATATATGTGAACATTAGATAAATTTCTCTTTTGTCTCGGAAATGATTCTTTTAAAATGTTATACCGTCAAAAAGGAAATTTTATTTAAAATACCTTTGTATCTTATCCTGAAAGTGCAATAATTTTGTGGAGTAAAAAATATGTCACCGGGTACATTTTTAAAGTATTATCTTTTGTACATCGGAGACCATGACGGTACGGACCTGGCACGCATACATGTATACAGGTATCTTTTTATCTTACAGTTGTGAAACCAAATGCTAGAGAGACTAATTAACACGGGATCTCCTTCTATTACAATAGAGCCCGAGAATTCGTTTCAGTATAATTTTCAATTCGTAATATATATCAACCATTTTTACGCAGAAAAATTTTGATGCGTTGTGTGATATCACAGCTGTATAATGATGACTGCCTATGAAAAAGGATTAGATGTGCAGAGGACCGTGTTAGCAAGTGACTCATTACTATTTCATTATTGTGAGTGGTGTGAAGTTTGCGGTGAAGGTTATTGAATGGGTGTTGAGTGACGAGAAACCCTGCAAAAACAAGCCAACTGCATATTTCGAACAAACAGAAAGAGAGAGTGAAAAACTCATTGTGTCAGTCACTATACGCCATTTTTTCTGTATAACATACCTGCGTATGATGAGCGAGTATTTACGAGTATTAGAAGATCAGAAAAATTAGTAGACCTGATGCCTCATTCATATAATACCTCATGCTACAGTGTCAGAGACGATACAATATATTTTTAAAAGGGGGCATTCTGTACAGGAAAAACTAGGAAAACAAATGAAAATTATAAAAGTTTTTTTTTTAGATAAGCGGAGATCCATTTTCTGATGAAGCGAATACTCACTTTAGCTCTTGGAGATTATATTTCTTTTATCGAAAAAAAAGAGGAGGATGAGGAGGATGTATATTCCCTTTTCAAAATAATGCTGTGAATTTTGTGAAATAAGTGAAAATCAAGGAATTATGACATTGCTATTAATGATTGCGTATACAGGCTGTCGAACCTTGTTATCTCAATCTCGTATAACTCGATCCGTTTACTTAAGTAATCCATAACAATTTTTTGGTCCTTACCTAACTCTACACAAACCATTCGGAATCAGTTAAATTGAATACTCGGTTATCTCGAAATTTTCCCATAATCCCGCTCAGTTCGAGATAACGTGGTTCGACTGTATCTTGCTTAAAACTGATTTATTCATTTATGTGATATGTTTACTACATTACATCGAATTAATAATTACCGACTAATTGATCTCCCTTTTTCTGACAGGTTTGTTACCACACACGCCCAGAACTTCTTTCACGGTCATGCTGCAAAGACCACCTTAGAAAGGGTATTGGGTGTACGGTGGGCTGGAGTACAAGTGATTTATTACCTAGACATTTTTTGTGAAAGATATGAAGTATACAGTGGGCAGCATTGTGAGCAGCAAGGTTATTGGTGTCAAAATGTATCCGTATATAAGGAGGAGGCGGCGAACTGTTTGTTATATTCTCCTCAAGCTAAACTTACCATGAACTGGGCGTACCTCCTATGCTGCATTTAAGAAAGATACTTTTAGTTGAATACCAGTAGTCCAATATTTGTTTTAATAAAATAAGGGAATTTCTGTTTGAAAAGAAAGAAGGATATAGAACAGAATACCACAGCATTTTCATGATAACATTAGAAATATATATATAATTTTTGCTAGAGTAGACCATGTAAGGACAAAATCATTTGTTCAATATTAAACTCAATATTTCAGTTTTGACAATATTCGTACTATAATAGTTAAATATCGTTGAAATACAGTCTTTCAAGATTTCTTCTTTTGAGTATAGATACAAAATTTACATGTCGTTTTATAAAATAGTTCATGTTGCGCGTGGTAATCTGGTTGTCGGAAAATTCAAGTCTGCCACTTACTTCTCTATACCTTAACACAACTTTTGAAGAGATTGTACACTAGACTAGTGATATAATGTTAAGGAAACCTGTGCATTATCTTCAACGACTTTGCACACTTAACATACAAAATCCCGAAAATCCCATTGAATTGTGCTGAGTGTAACTCATGTTTTAGCCTGTGTCTGTAGATGCAAGTACATTACACTAAATATTGACACACATTTTGCAAATAAATAATTAAACACCATCTTTTTTCTGTATGCAACAAATATTGTTTTATTTTTTGTTTTACAAAATCAAGCAATTGTACAGTGTTGTACAAGAAAGACTGCAATATGCTCTGCCGTGTTAATACTTCTATTAAATGTATTTTCCTGTATGTATATATGTAGATGTGAGTAATGTTACAAAGGACATGAATGAACCAGTTAATGAAAAGAATTTGCACGGATTCAGGGTTCAATATAGACAAGATCTCGTCCCACACAAGTAGTATACAATGCATATTAGATAGGGTGCTCGCGGTTACAATACTGATATGAGTTTAGCGTATACATTTTATTTAGCAATGCATAAACAGTGTTGTATATGCATAAGTACTATGCAGAAGATAGCATTAGTATTAAATGAAGTTGATAATGAACACAGCCATCAGTAGCAGAGAGAACGACATCTTGTGTGAAACACTTGTTCCGGTATCTTCTACACATGGCTCTTGTGTTTGGGTTGTACATGTGCATGGTTCAACAGCCTCCAGAGAAAGTTCGGTATCACACGAGTGGTATAGGGCCATTTTGTTTACACCCATCTGAGGACTGATCATGCTTTCCACGTATCCTTTGACTTTGCCTTGAAAACAAGGGTTACTTCGAAGATCTTCGATGTAAGTTTTGCATTCCTTGCGACAGACGAAAGTTTCACATCGTCGAAGAATCTAAAAATACAGAATATCGACATACCGGTTTAATGAGATATGTGATATATTGGTTTTATTTGGCTATGCGAATACATTATAGATTAATGTGTGCTTATGGCGGTTACCACATTTAACATGGTAAATTTCTGCATTAAAATTAATTAAGGTTTGTTTTGATAAAAATAAAAATCTAAGAAATCATAAATTTCATAAATTTTCATAAACTTCTCGCTTAAACCTCAGAAACGAAGAGAATATGCAGAAGTGATATTACTGAAATCGGTCATTTACACAGTTTTCGTTAAAAGACAAAAAACTAAATTTTGAAAACGATATCTCAAATGAAACATGTCCAAAAATCCTAAATATCAATTTTGATATCAGATTTTAACATTTAACAAGCTATATCGGGCCGGGCAACAAAATGTATATTTATGCTTGAGAACGGTTTAATGGATACGGGGCCTGATTTTATTCTACTTGTACATTAAGGAGTTGCAATGTTGATTCATCTTGTGTTCATATTTTGCCGTTATTTCAGTGAATATGACTTGTATTTTTGGATATTTCGATATTTTCGTTGTTGGTGCTTTGATCGATTTGAGACCTGAATTCATTCTCCCACTATTCTCTCAATATAACCAAAATAAAAAAAAGCACACAACATATAAGCAACCAACCTCTTTAAAGGTCTCGTCGAAATACGAAGTGTTTGTAAGGAAAGACTGAATTTGACATCCTTCTGTTAACTTTGTTTCGTGTGATACAGTGCATAGAGGCAACCCCATCACGGTAAAGCATTGGTGAGTTGCAATGGATTCCTTCGGATAGTAAAACAAAAACGCAAAACACATTTCCTCGGCTGTTGCTTCACCGCTATAGGTTGTTACGTCTTTGCGTAAAGACGTGAAAGAACATTTTGTCTTGAAAACATCGCCAGGTTGGGCTTTCAAAGGTGTCTTTAAGCTG